GTGGAGATGAGGTCTCACTGCCCAGGCGGGTCTTGACCCCGCGGGCTCAGGCAATCCACTCACCTCAGCCTCCCAAAGGCGCGGGACTACAGGCTAAGCCACCGAGCCCGGCTACCCCTCAAATTCTTAAACACAGAATCCTATGATCAAACAGGCACATTTCTTCCCAGAGCCCAGCCAGGTTCCACATAGACAGCTAATGTGCTCAGGTGCAAGGCACTTTCAGCTGGTCAAGTACTGCAACATGACTTGACCCAGCAACTAACTGTTCATATTTACCTGCATGGGAATAAAAAGATTCTGTAATCCGTCAGCTAATCAGGAGAGGCATTCCCACAGGTCCAGAAAGCCAAAAGCAGCTGACCCTTTGGTTCAGGCAGTAGGCCGTTAACTCACTGGGAAACTCGATCAACATCTTTCTCCCAAAGGGATGGTGTCAGCAGCTTGGCAGAATTGCTGACAGAGAATGTGAGGACAGGATCCTGGCAGGCCGGCAAGAAACCAGAGGTCTCTACAATAGAGGGAAAAAGTCCATCGGGGCTGTGGGATGACAACTCTGATAAGCTGACCCCACTACCCATGGAAAGACAAGAAAATGGCTCACCGATGGAGACATGATAGCAATCAGCCTGGGGTTGTGAAGAATTAATCATGCTGTACAAACTTCATTTAGTTCTGACACTTCTCGGTTCAGTGTACAAGAGTCAAGAATAAAGACGACTCAATCCCAGCCTACCGGTTATTTGTAAAACTCTTACAGAAAATGCGAGATTATGTTCACAGAATTACGAGGCAGCAACTGCAGTCTGAAGATTGATTTCCTTGGCGCTTAAGAGCATTCTGCGAATTTAAATGTGAAGCAGAAGACAGTGGCTGGGGCGAGTCTTCTAAAGCTCAAGTCACGTGTATATTACACCCCTGCTCAAGACTCATGGCTGCCTGTGTCACTCTGGGCAGAGCTGCCATTCGCCTTAAAAACCGTTGCCCGGTCAGGCTCAGTGGCTCAATCCGTAATCCCAGCACTTTGGGAGGCCAAAGTAAGTGGATTGCCTGAGCCCGTGGGTTCGAGACCCACCCGGGCAACTTGGCAAAGTCTCGTCTCTACCATACATAAAAAATGAGCCAGGTGTGGTAGTGTGTGCTGTAGCACACGCCTGTAGTTCCGACTACTTGGAAGGCTGAGATGGAAGGATTGCCAGGGCCCAACAGGTCAGGGCTGTGAAACCATCGCCCAGCCTGGCCCAGCCCCAACCCATCACTCCACAGACCACAGTCCACTGTCCACCCCCTGGCCACAGCTTACTCACAATCCTCCAGAATACAAGATGTGCTCAACCCCTACCAAGGGCTTGAAGTTTCACACCACAGCAGCATCAGCCTGAAGTTTAGACCTCATATCTGAATCTGCTTCTGTGTAGATGAGGCTCCTTGGATGTGGTTCTGTAAGTGCAGCTCCATGTGAAGACCTGCCCCTACTCTGCCACAGAAGCAGCCAACATACAACAGGGCACAACCTAGAATGCCTGCTACAGATGCTCCCAGGACTCACTGGTCCAGGAAAGTTCTGAAATCCCACTGAAATTCCACCAGGAATGTGTCATGCAGGCAGTCACTGACTAGAGTCCAGCCTTGCTTCACCAGGGATTCTCCAGGCTTCTAGGCTCTGGTTCCACTCTGAATTATCTTTCGTTTTCCACAAAAGCGGCCTATGTCTGCAGCTGGGGAGTCTTCTCAGTTTACTTCCTGCTGGTAGGATCTTAAGGGTCCAAGGCCTCCCTCGTGTCATCCTGCCTGGACTTTCCAGTCCAACCTGGCAGTGTTTCTGCCAACGTAACTCTTTCAAAAGCCAGGTGAGGCTCCTGTCAACCATACTGGGGTTCAATTCATTAGACAAAAGCCACACCTAAAGGTCTCTTCAAAATAACCCGTGTCTTGGGCTTCTGCTGAGGGACGGGAAGCTGTATTGCTGCATAGAAAGGTTCTTGGCATTCTAAGGTTCAACATAATCTTCCTGCCACACTTGCAGCTTCAACACGGATAACATTTTCCCAGCTGTTATCTGGACATCACTTTGCTGAAAGCCATGGTGTGCTATCTGGCAAGGTTGAGGGTATCCAAGCACTAAGTCCTGCTCTTCCTCCATATTCAGCACCCTCTCCCACTAGCATTTTAATGTAAGCAGCTGGACACCAGAAAGTACCCACCAGCCCTACACAGAAACGTCAGCTACGCCATCCATTTCGTGAGATGTTTTCTATGTTCCGCCATGCTGGAGGCCACAGTGCCACTGAAATGTCACCACATAATGAGGATCCACTTTGCTCCAATCTCCTATGTTTCCTACACCTTCCCACCAGCCCAGCCTCCTAATGGCTGAGACCTCCTCTGTCAGCTTCCTCAGTCTTCAGGCTCTCAGATGCCCCTGAGGTCTCTCCTGTCTAGAATTCTGTTGGCAGCCAACATGCCACACTCCCACCTCAGGGCCTTTGCTCGCTGCCCTCCCTGCTAACATCTCAGATCAAATCCCGCCTTCCCAGGCATCTCCTAACCGCCATGAAAAAGTGTCATTCTCCCTAGCCTACCGGCTGATCCCTTGACCTGACAATGAAGTGACATCTCATCTCCCTGCCAGAGCGTGAGCGCAGGCAACAGAGCGGTCTGCCCCCTGCCATACCCCGTGCTGACTAGACTGTACCTGATAGACCCCCTAAGGGTCCCCCAAACATGTTATATAAACAAGCTCGGGCTTTTGTACTTTTCAAACTCAGAACAAAGTCGCCAAAGCCCAACCCTTGCTTGAAGTCACTTGTGAGGGATGTCTCTGGGACACATGGCCGCAGCTTGGGCTGGTGGTCATGCCCACAGGCAGCTGCCAGAATCCGAGAGTGTGGCTACAGGGGGCAGGGCCCTCTCAGGATGCAGGCTAATCGTTCTGCTTCAGGGCCCATCCCAGTGGACGGGAGAGCCCTGCACCCCAGTGCAGATGAATGAGCATCAGACCTAGATCGTTGGCACATCTGAAGGCATGACACATATCCAGAGCTCCACACCTATCAAACAAGGCCCTTCAGTCAATGGGCAGGGCAGGGTGGAATGAGCTGGCACACACAGGACACTCAGTGACCACTCACAAGCGCTGCTCAGGATTACCTTTCCACCTGGAGGCCGCCCTTCCTGAGTGCAACATGAGTGTCTCAGATGTGAGAAAGACAGATACACACTGACCCTCCAAACACGACTGCTGGCAACAACCTTAATCAGTAAGTTATTTTCTTTATTTTTGCATTATCATTCCATATAAAAGCAATAGAAACATAACAGTCTTAGCAAGAAGTTTACAATTGAATATTTGAACAGAGACTCTGTACACATTATCATTTACAGCAATTTTACATGGCAAATTAACTGATTGTTAAATGTTCTAACTCCTTCTGCTGCCTTAACTCTTGAAGTATTACAGATAAAGAGCCTATCTAGTGCTATGTTCAAGTACCAAATTAAAACGTACATAAACCCATTCACAGATCAACTTAACATATTTAACTCTTCAAAGCTCTGCATGACATATCCATATAAAAGGCCAAAAATCAAGTTTCCATGAAGACACTGAAGGTGTCTGACTTTGAGAATATTTTGTCAGATACCTGTAAAGAAAGCTGACTCTAGGTCGGGCGCGGCAGCTCACCCGCGTCTATAATCCCAGCACTTTGGGAGGCCGAGGTGAGAGGATTACCTGAGCCCACAGGTTCGAGACCAGCCGGGGCAACTTGGTGAGACCTCAGCTCTACAATAAATCAAAAAATTAACAGAGCGTGGTGGTGCATGCCTGTAGTTCCAGCTACTTGGAAGGATGAGGCAGAAGGATCACCTGAACCCAGCAGGTTAAGGTTGCAGTGGCCGTGAGTGTGCCACTGCACTCCAGCCTGGGAGACAGTCAGACTCCAACTCAAAAAAAAAAAAAGAAAGCTGATTCTAGATTGGTACCATGAATACATGTACAATCTCAACCCACCCAACAAGTGGCAACTTACTGTCCAAAATACTTGTGGGAAACCAATTCGAGTATACTTGTCAGGTTAACTTGGAGGAGGGTAGAGATTAAGCAATTAGTTTGCTGCAAGATTGCTTCAAGTTCCATCTTTCTTGGATTCAGCTCCATATAAAATTTATAACATGCAAAATGCACTCACTATACATAAAACAAATGTCCTCAAGAAAATAGGGCAAGAATAACAATTCATCATGAAATAACAGACTATTAACAAGAAACCACCAGTACAAATGCAGGACACATGCTTGGCACCTGGCCAGTCTTCCACCTAGCCAGGGGAGGAGCTGTTTCTCTCAGTGGCCGCCAGGTGGCACAGTTAGCTCATGGCCGAGAAGTCTTTCAAGGGTTCCATTAAACAAGTTTCCAAATCAAACTCATCCTCCACTTGGCAGTCCACGTGTCTAACCTTGGTGGGTGTGCCCGAGTACACGTCCTGGAAAACAGAGGTGTGGATCGTGTCGCCATTCAGACACAGACTTGCTGCCAGTGACACGAGGCACAAGTCGCTTACTGGCTGGCCGAGGGATGAAAAGTACGATTGTGCCCAGCAGCACACGCCAAAACAGCAGACTATCACCAGTGAAGGTCACACGAATGCAGGAATACTCACAACAGACAATTCAAAGTAATTAGCCACTTTAAATTCATGAATAAAGAATGAGTAACTTAAAGTTTCATTTTAGCTAGAAATATCCAATTCCTACCCAGCAGCCTACCCTCCTTCTGTCCCAAATGAGAAACTGACCCCTTAACATCTCCAAGTCACAACTCCCTCAACTCCAACAGGAGCTGCCACGAGGTCTAGATGCAGGATGTCACCCACTTGACTCGTAATGTGGCACTACATAAACTGGCTTAGTCTTTCACCAGCCAAGGAAGACCTGCCTCAGCTCTAGCACAGGAGTCTAGGGACTGAAAGCCTTCTTGAGCCATCTCAACTCCAAAATAGGGGCCACTTCCCCATCCCACAGCTTACAGAAATCACGTGTCTTAATGCACATCAAGGTATACACTTCAGTTACAACTGAGATGAATTTTAATAGTGACATTGCAAACAGGTACCATATGCTGTATAAAATACAAAGCTTAGATATGTACACGTTTTATAAGCCCAAAAAGGATTCTAAAAGGCTAAACAAACCATAATAGTACCTGTATCTCAGGACAGGAGGGGAAAGTTTTTAGATTGATACGTTTCAGGATTGTTTTAATGAACATGTTTTGCTACTTTAATTTAAAAAATTTAGCTGAACGTGGTGGCTCACACCTGTAATCCCAGCACTTTGGGAGGCGGAGGCCATAGGATTACCTGAGCCCAGGAGTTCGAGATCAGTATGAGCGACTTGGCAGGACCTTGTCCCTACAACAATTTTTTAAAAAATCAGCCGGGCGTGGTGGTGTGTGCCTGTGGTTCCAGCTACTTGGGAGGCTGAGGCGGAAGGATATCCAGAGCCCAGCAGGTCAAGGCTATGGTAACCATGATTGTGCCTCTGGGCTCAGCCTGAGTGACGAAGTGAGATTTAGACTCCAAAAAATAAATAAATAAATAAAACTGAAAGGTCATGTAGTCAAACGTTAGAGTTTACATATTAGGGAGTTCAAACCAATTTGAAGCCCAAATTTTTTAATGAATATTAAAAAGGGGTTCATATTTTTATAGTGGAGAGGTCTGGTTGATCCCTTATGCGTTATAAGTTTAACCTCATCAGCAACAGGACAAATCGATATACCCTCCCAGTTATCTTTTTTTAAATTTTTTGAGTTAGAGTCTCTGTTGCCCAAGCTGGAAGGGAGTGGCATACTCACAGCCACTGCAGTCTTGACCCTCTGGACTCAGGCGATTTTTCCACCTCAGCCTTCCAAGAAGCTGGAACCACAGGAATGCACCACTATGCCCAGCTAATTTTTTTATTTTTTTGTAGACATGAGGTCTTGCCATGTTACCCAGGCAGGTCTTGAACCCCTGGGCTCAGGCAATCCTCTCACCTTTGCCTCCCAAAGTATTGGGATTACAGACATGAGCCACCGTGCCCGGCTTTGTGATCGTATTCTTATCCAAAATGTTTAACTTGATCTGATCCCTAAGGAAAGAATCCAACAACTCCTAATTGAAACTAGTCTGAACTATTAAAAAAAAAAAACATGAGTCAAGGTCATGGGGGTAAAGGCAGGGAGCCTGCCCCTGGGTTAAAGGAAAGAACAGAGACAAGGGTAATTCAAATGTGTGATCCTTGACTAAATTATAAAATTTTTTTTAAGTACTGAAAAGAACATTACTGGAGCAACTGGGAAACATGAATATGAACCGTGTATTGGACAGCAGTGTTTTGTCAATGATACACTCCCAAGTGTGATAACTATATTGTGGCTATATCTACTAGAACATCCTTCTCTTAACGGACAAAAATGGGCCAGGGTGGTGCCTCATATCTGTAAACCTATTACTTCAGGAGGCCCAGGCAGGAAGACTGCTTGAGCCCAGGGGTTTGAGATCAGCCTGGACACAGTAAGATCTCATTTCTCAAAAATTAAAAAAATTATCCACGTGTGATGGCACACACCTCTAGTCCCAGCTACTTAGGGGGCTGACTGACCAAGGAGAATCACTTAAGCCCAGGATACTGACATCACAATGAGCCATGATCGTTGCACTGCACTGCATCCTGGGCTACAGAGTAAGACCCTGAAAAAAAAAGAAAATTGCTGGATATGGTGGCTCATTCCTGTAATTCCAGCACTTTGGGAGACAGAAGCAAAAGGACTTCCTGAGCCCAAGGGTTCCAGACCAGCGTGGGCACTTGGCAAGACCTCGTCTCTACAATAAATCAAGAAACATTAGCCAGGTGTGGTGGAGCACACCTGTAGTTCCAGCTATTTGGAAGGCTGAGGCAGAAGTATCACCTGAGCCCAGCAGATGGAGGCTGTGGTGGCCATGAGCGTGCCACTGTACTACAGCCTGGGTGACACAGTAAGATTCCAATTAAAAGAAAAAAGAAAAGGCAAAAGTTTCAGTATTTAACAGCAAAGACCTGCCACCACTTTTGAGTGGTTAAGAAACACGCATACAGAAGGAATGCTTCTCGAAACAGTTTTGGAAGAGTGCTTTTCCAAATATCTTCATGCAGTCTTCCTCTGCTTTCATATATCCAGCCATCTATGAGCTGTCTCTCTTTGGAGGCCCTAAGACCCGAGCCTCCAATCCTGTCCCCAAGCCCCACCACTTCATGGCCTGGCCCCCCACACCTCAGCAGTGTCATCTCCCCATTTTTGTCCCCCCAAGACTGATTATTCACTTCTAACCCCTGACCCTACAAGTGGCATATCACAATCTATTTCTTGAACTGGGACAAAAGCTACATTTTAAAAATTACAGGCCGGCTCGGTGGCTCAGCCTGTAATCCCGCGCTTTGGGAGGCCAAGGTGAGTGAATTGCCTGAGCCCGCGGGTTCGAGACCCGCCTGGGCAGTGAGACCTCATCTCTACAATAAATAAAAAAAATCAGCCGGGCCTGGTAGCGCATGCGTGTAATTCCGGCTGTTTGGAAGGCTGAGGCGGAAGGATCGCCGGAGCCCAGCAGGTCGAGGCTGCGGTGGCCGGGAGCAGCCACGGCACTCCAGTCTGGGCGACAGAGTGAGACTCCAACTCAAAATAAATAAGTAAATAAATAAATAAAAATGACAAAAACCAGGAGGCTGAGGTGGAAGGATCGCCTGAGCCCAGGAGGTCAAGGCTGTGGTGAATCACTGCACTCCAGCCTGGGCAACAGAGTGAGAGAGCCCAACTCAAAAAAAATTACAGAAGCCATTCTTACTCCATACTAATGACACCCACTTGTTGAGATCTTGATTGGTTTGAATTCCATCTATGTGTAAATATCTGTGAAACTGGACTCAGCTAAATAACCTTTTAAAATCTGTCTTGACAATTTTCTCATATCACTAAACAGTCTTCAGAAACACACTGTGTAGCGGGTGTTACCTCCTTAAGAGGCAACTGTGATTTTTGTCAAGCCTCTACTGATGGACACTGTGTTGTTTCCAGATACTCAGTCACAAAGCATCTGCCACAAATAATGTATGCCACAAATAATGTACAAATGGCCAGTAAGACTGGGAGGACACATAACAACACACCAGGCTTATCGGGCATGACACAGATGGAAGAAAGACAGGAAAAGATAACTTTGTACCCTCATTTTACATGTTCAAATACAGTATAGGATCCTACATAAAGCTTGAGTATTTTACAACAAATGTTTACATTTTCTAGTTCTTAACCTGTTTTCTCACTTAATATGTTGGGTATTTCTATACCTAAGCATTAAGGCAATCTCCTTTATAAAAATAAGGAGATTCTTTTACTGAAAACTGTATACATGCAGAAAGATCTGGAAGAAATGTATACATGCAGAAAGCTCTGGAAGAATTCACTACAGAATCAGATGAGGCAGTTTTATACACTGTTTTTCATCTTTGAAGTTTTTTCCCCCAACATGTAATCATCGGGCAACCCCTTCATGTCCCTCCCACTGTGGGAGCTTTTCCATCCTCTCAAAAAATCCTGCTTTCTAAAAAAAGGAAAAAAGTGTAATCTTTAAGAATAGGTGAATGGGACAACCCCCTCGGATCCCCTGCTCTGGGAGTTTTTCTATCCTCCCAATAAATCCTGCTTCCAAAAAAATAAAATAAAATAATAAAAATAGATGAATCCAAGAAAAAGCCCGAGGCAAAAAGCATTCCTTTATTTAATAAAAATTAGCAGATAATTCCCACACTAGCAACTCGCCAGCACAAACTGTTTGAAGTCTACAACTGAGCACTAGTGACAATACATGTATATGGGAAAAAGACCTTTTATTTTCTTTTTTAGAGATGGGGGGGGTCTTACTATAACCTCAGGAGGGAGTGTAGTGGCTATTCACAGTGGCTCATTAGCACACTGCAGCCAAACTCAGGGGCTTAAGTGATCTTCCCACCTCAACCTTCTGAACAGCTGGTACTACAGGCATCTGCCATCTCAGGTGGCTCCTTTTACTATCAAATGAAAATGGTAGAACTAGCTAGACTTAACCAAAAACCTTAATGTTGGTTACTACATTAAGAACTCAACCTTACAACTAAATCTAACATTTCAATGACTGGGAAATACTGCAAGAAGTCCCTTTTGCATAAGCATCAGAATCCAGCTTCAGCCGGGTTCGGTGGCTCAGCCTGTAATCCCACGCCTTGGGAGGCTGAGGTGAGTGGATTGCCTGAGCTTGCGGGTTCAAGACCCACCTGGGCAGCTTGGCGAGACCTCATCTCTACAGTAAATCAAAAAATCAGCTGGGTGTGGTAGTGCACGTCTGAGGAGGAAAGATAGCCGGAGCCCAGCAGTCGAGGCTGTGGTGGCCGGGAGCGGCCACTGCACTCCAGTCTGGGCGACAGAGTGAGACTCCAACTCAAAAAAAAAAAAAAAGAATCCAGCTTCAGTTTATAAAGCGTCATGTATTGTCAACAATTCACTTGAAACTCCCAAGCTGAAAGGTCTATCCAAATAAAGTACTTACAAAGTCATCCTGAGAGCTTGTCTGGGGCTCAGAGCTGCTCTCTGTGGATTCCAGGTCTACAGGGTGTCTGTAAAATGAAACCCAAAAGGTGTCAGTCATCTGCTTAACAAAGCCAGGAGACTCCATACCTGTGAAGTCCTCCAAGCCTATTCACTAAAAACAAACCCTATCCACATTGTATTGCCACAACACTGACGGCGTTTCCTAAGCTGCCTGAGGTGTCAGTTTTCAGGGACTTCCCATTCATCAGACTCAACCCCAGCCCATTAATCCAGGAGAGAGACATTAAGGGCAATTACAACAAGTGAAAAGATTTGCCTGGCTCACAACACACTAAATTCTGCTTGTTCTCAAAAGCCACAGAACTATTTACACACACCCATAGCATTCTTGAACAGAAGCACTAATAATAAGCCCAACTTCTGAAGGAGGAAATGAACACTGATAAACCGCACTATACATCATCACTAATTTCTCCAATTTTCTACTCATAGAGAACTGGACAATATTGTCATATTGGGGAAAAAATCCCTGGATGATGTCCCTCAGGATAAATTTGCAAAGCCATGTTAGAAAGTGTTTCAAATATGCAAGCTTCTAGTAATTTCCCAGCACAGGGAAAAAACTCAAATATCTGCTCAATGCATAAATGTGCCTGAAAAAGGGAGAGACTTAGGAGTAGAGGGGAGCTGAAAAGAAATGGAGAAAACACCACCCAGAGGGAGGGGAGCACAAGTTCTCTTCCCACCTCCTGTCCAGTAGGTATTCCAACCATGCAGCAAAGGTCAGGCCTGAAATGTCTCCAACTAGACACAAATTGAAAAATCAACAGGGTTGATGGGTGTGGTGGCTCATGCTTATAGCCCCAGTGCTTTGGGAGTCCAAGATGGGCAGATCACTTGAGGCACGGAGTTCAAGACCAGCCTAGGCAACATAGCAAGACTCCATCTCTACCAAAAAAACAAAAAACCCTACAGGGAAAAAACAGAAAAGACTCGAATACTTTTTAGGCTATTTATCTTTAAAGAACAAACAAAAAACAAACCACCACGTACGCCTAGGTTTACTGAGCTCTATCTTTTATAGCTACAAAAAGTAAATGCAGCCGGGCTCAGGCCTGTAAATGGGCTCATGCCTATAATCCCAGCACTTTTAGGAGGCTGAGGCAGAAGATCACTTGAGCTCAGGAGTTCAAGACCAGCCCAGGTAGCATAGTGAGATCTTGTCTCTACAAAAAAAAAAAAAAAAAAATCAGCAAGCCGTGGTGACATGTGCCTGTAGTCCCAGCCACTCTTGAGGCTAAGGTGGAAAAATCCCGAGCCCAGGAAGCTGAGGCTGTGGTGAGCCATGACACGCTACTGCTCTCCAGCCTGGATAAGAGTGAGACAGCGACTCGACAACAACAAAAAAAGTAAATGCAATGCAGAAAGCAAGCTCCTCCCTCCAACCCCTCCCACCCACCTGCACACTGTGCAGAGCAACTCTGCAGGGAGCCCCAGTGGCTGCTCTGCTCCTTCATAGCTGCCGGGACTTGGCACCAGAACCACCCTCCCACAGAGACACTCAGAGTTGCTCCCAGTTACCATGCCAATCAGAGAAACAGAGAACAAGAATGCAATAAAGACATACATTTCCTGCAAATCACATCCTTCTTCAGCTGGAGGATCCCAAAAATGAAGAGCCACCTTCCAAAGTTTGATTTGCTGGTCCCATGACCGTCGACTATACTTCTTAAATTTGTTGGGGGTCTTGGGATGAATGCCAGGTTGTCGAAGGTGTCTGCAGAAGACAGCCAAGATTACCCTAGGACATGCCACTCACATTTGTACATTAGCTTGAAGATTAACTAAACTTTGAGATTAGTATCATTAAAAAAATTATATTTTCTCACACTCCAGACACAACATTTGGCGGCCCCAACAACAACAACAACAACAAAAGTTATAGACCTAGTCCTGGCTACTTGGGAGGCTAAAGCAGCAGGATTGCTTAAGTCCAGACGTTTGAGGCTGCAGTGAGTGACACTGCACTCCAGACAAAGCAAGGCCCTGTCTCTAAAAATAACTTTAAAAAACTGCAAACCAACTGAGATTCTAAAGATGAGCAAAGTAATATATTTTGAATCTTACTAGTTCCTTACCATGTACGTTCCAGAAAAGTACACTTTAACCCCAATCCAGTCAAAAAGTTCAGAAATATTCTGAAACTTTCTTTGTATCCTTTTGTGTCTATGAATTCAAGGGAGCAGGATAGGCAAGAACATGCTGCTTACAGAAAATAGAACAATGACAATTTTTTTCTGATTACAAATTTACAATCTTAACTTGAACTTTATTTTTTCCCATCATATATTTTAATAACCTTACATCTGTAAGATTCCTGAGTCCTGAGAAATGAAATGTTATCTAACGTTTAAAATTATGAAATTAGTAGCATTTTAAAATTCTCATGTTGCTGGTTTTTCAGTTGCCAATTCAGTCTTCCTTCTTTACAGCATAAACTCTTGTGAATTCCTAAACAGTTTTTTTTTTTTTGAGTTGGAGTCTCACTCTGTTGCCCAGACTGGAGTGCAGTGGCCGCTCCCGGCCACCGCAGCCTCGCCTGCTGGGCTCCGGCGATCCTTCTGCCTCAGCCTTCCAAGTAGCTGGAACTACAGGCGTGCGCTACCACACCCGGCTAGTTTTTTGATTTATTGTAGAGATGAGGTCTCACCCAGTTGTCCAGGCGGGTCTCGAACCCACGGGCTCAGGCAATCCACTCACCTCAGCCTCCCAAGGCGTGGGATTACAGGCTGAGCCACCGAGCCTGGCCCTAAACAGTTCTTAGGAGGTGGGAACTATTCTCAGCATCAGATTTACCATCTAATCTAAGCAAACTCTTGAGAAGTACAGTGCCACATGAGTAGTCAGGACATGCCACTAAGACAAGACTACCTGGGGACTTCTTTAATATAGCGATCATAGGCAATCGTGTTCTTTCCATAGTTGATCTGCTTCTGCCTCCTCATCAGGACACTTTCATCTGTCTCAAAGTCAGCTGGCACTGTAGACATAGACTCCTTTGAATCAGAACTGAAAAAAATGAGAGATCAACAGATCAAGCCTTGAGATCAAGATCACCATGTAAGGTAAGCCAAACGATGACTCCTCCAGAGTCCAAACCCTATTAATCTCAGAACAGTCAAGAATCTCTGTATGTGGGGGAATGTAGTATACAAAAGACACGATATTTCAAATCAGTGAAAATGGTACAAATCAATAAATGCTATTGGGACAATCAGCATTTCTCAGTCACAATTTTTTTTCATTAACAAGTGACAGGTCTATCAAATTAGAAAAGAAACACGTATACAGCCTTTACCTTCCTGATGATGATTTTCTCTCCCTTCCAAAGTCATTTATGAGGAGTTTTCTTTTGTATCTGAGAGCAGAATAAATATTGCTGTTTTTAAAAAGGCACCAAAACAAAGCACCCACTTCTGAGAACATTCTTGTCCTGATCCCCTAGGGCACATCATCTATTTTATGCAGAGCTTCCCTAGATCAAAAGAAATTCTTGATAGGCTTGTTTACAGTGAGATCCACACAACAAAAATGTACTTACCAAACACTCAGTAATCATTTTGAAAAAATGAATACACACTGAAATAAAAAGCTTTCATTTTTAAAATCACCCCTCGTGTCTTGTTCCTCATGAATGACACAAGGTATCTCCTTTCTATGGCAATAACTACCAAAATTCAGTTCATAGGTATGACATCCCCAATAGGAGCCTGGTACGACCTACTGCTGAAACCACAAACCACCTAGAGCTATAAGTTCACATGGGTATCTAAACGAGGTCACATATTACTGTGTTGCCCTCGAAAATCTAAAATCTGCCCCCAGGTTTGCTGAGGCGTCTAGCACAGTTTAGACTCCAGAAGGTAATGAAGTAATTTACTTCCTGTGTACCTAGAGCAGCACTGGTTATATGCTATCCTTGTGAGACTTGAGAAACCAGTCTTGCAAATCATCTCTTGTGGGGCTTTACTGTCTCTGGTACCCTACATGAGAAAGGTTGGCTGCAGGTATGAAGAAAACCATTTTCCAACTCAGTCTGTAGTCTGTGACTCTCCTTCAAGTATAGCAAGCTGACTTCTCACACCCTCTGGCTGTTGGGAAGTAAGCTGGCCTGCCATATAAAGGCTCACCACAGGGTCAGGTCAAATCACCCAGGTCATACTAAAAGCAGCAGCATTTCTGTCAGCAAGTGCATGATCATCAACCCAGTTTGCCCTAAACAGCACTGTGGACTTTTTTCAGAAACAGGCCTGTGAGAGATAACTGAGGAACAAAAAGGGATCCATCCACAGGAGGGTCCAGACAGATGGGTCTCCTTGCATAGAGCTTCAGGTAATCCTTGGCAAGGGGTGACTTGGTGGAGCAACTAGGACGTACGTACGTGAGAATTATTATAAAAAGTGTGAACGGGCCAGGCTCGGTGGCTCAGCCTATAATCCCAGCACTTTGGGAGACCAAGGCGAGTGGATGCCTGAGCCCGTGGGTTCGAGACCAGCCCGGGCAACTTGGCAAGACCTCATCTCTACAATAAATCAAAAATTAGCTTGGTAGCACATGCCTGTAGTTCTGGCACTTCGGAAGGCTGAGGTGGAAGGAATGCCAGAGCCCAGCAGGTTGATGCCAGGGTGGCTGTGAGTGTGCTACTGCACTCCAACCTGGACAATGGAGTGAGACTGATTAAAAAAAAAAAAGTGTGAACAGAACACAGAAAATATAGGCAAATCAAACATTCTACTTTATGGTTAAGAAAGTCAAACCCTACGTAAAGACAATTCACTCCAAATATCAGTCCCCACATCTGTCAACTCTCAATTCATTTTCTCTACCAAGCACACTACCCACATTTTGAGTGAATTTGCTTTTTTTGAGTCAGTGTCTCACTCTGTTGCCCAGGCTGGAGTGCAATGGCATGATCACAGCTCACCATAGCCTCAATCTCCTGGGCTCAAGCAATCATAGCCACCTCAGCCTCCCAAAGTGCTGCGATTACAGGCATGAGACACCACATCCTGATTCACCCAAATATTTTGATACCTAAAAGAAATTAAGAATGACTTCATGGCTGGACTTGGTGGCTCGGTGGCCGAGGCAAGTGGATTACCTGAGCCCATGAGTTCGAGACCAGTCCAGGCAACTTGCTAAGACCTTGTCTCTACAAAAAAATCAAAAATTAGCTAGGCATTGTAACACACGCCTGTAGTTCTGGCTACTTGGAAGGCTGAGGTGGAAGGATCTCCGGAGCCCAGCAGGTGGACGCTGGGGTAGCCACGAGTGTGCCACTGCACTCCAGCCTGGGTGAGAGTGAAACTCCAACTCAAAAAAGAAAAAAAAAAAAAAAGAATGACTTCACATACATGCTCATAAACCTGTGCTTTTTCAAAGGAGGCAGCTACAAATACCATCACAGGCTGTCAAGATGAGGACAGGCAGTCTAGTCCTGCTTCCCTGGCTGACATTTAGGACACATTTTTTTTCATCAGCATTAAGAACAAAGACCCTGTTTGATTTGTCGGCCACTTGTCAGACAGAATTCTCTTGGAAAATACTTCAACTACTTATAAACCAACCACATTTTAACTCAGAAATCATGCAGCTGGGTTTAGCCTTACATCAAAAGAGAAAGGACAAAAAACACTGATAATGTAATCAAGGGAGACAAAACAATGGTTAATGCACTATCTAAATGATAATGAGTCAATGAAGAGGAATTGGCTCACATTTTGTGAGAAGTGGGATTCACAACAATTTTGTGCACAACTGCAAGGGGGCTCACAGAACCCAAATTAGGGACCTTGCCCTGCACTTTGACCCTTCTGAGCTGCGTTACCTGAGCCAGGTGTCATCAAGAGCACATTCCCTCATCTGGAGAGAGCACCCCATCTACTGTGCTGGGTTGTATGAGCACAGCATATGGTAGGTGGTTAACAAATGACCGCAGGAAGCTACTAATAGTGCTCTAGTCTACAATCCAGCAGCACCGTGCCCACCTACTTCCGCTCTTAAAAGAATCACCACTGAGATAAAAGTGGTTCTCAAACTTGAGGGAGCAGACTCACCTGCAGAGCTTCTAACAGGATGGCTAGGCCCCACTCCATCATCAGCAGTTTCCATTCAGCACATCTGGGGAGGGGCCTGAGGATATGCATTTCTAACAGGTTCCCAGGAGATGTTGAAGCTAGCTACTGGACTGAGGTCAAGACCCTTGAGAACCACTGCCCTAAGACATACCTTGAATTTACATTGAAAAATTGAAAACCCCATAGGCCAGGCTCAGTGGCTCAGCCTGTAATCCCAGCCCTTTGGGAGGCTGAGGTGAGTGGATTGCCTGAGCCCACGGGTTTGAAACCAGCCCAGGCAACTTGGCAAGACCTTGTCCTCTACAATAAATCAAAAATTAGTAGGCCGGGCTCGGTGACTCAGTCTGTAATCCCACGCTTTGGGAGGCCGAGGTGAGTGAACTGCCTGAGCCCACGGGTTTGAGACCTGCCTGGGCAACTTGGCGAGACCTCATCTCTACAATAAAATCAAAAAAATTAGCCGGGCGTGGTAGCACGCGCCTGTAGTTCCAGCTACTTGGAAGACTGAGGTGGAAGGATCGCCAGAGCCCAGCAGGTTGAGGCTGCAGTGGCCAGGAGCAGCCACTGCACTCCATTCTGGGCAGCAGAGTGAGACTTCAACTCAAAAAAAAAAAAAAAAAAATTAGTAGGGTATGGTAGTGCACGCCTGTAGTTCTGGCTACTTGGAAGGCTGAGACGGAAGGATCGTTGGAGCACAGCAGGTCGACACTGGGGTGGCCGTGAGGATGCGTGTCACTGCACTCCAGTATGGGTGATGGAGTGAGACTCCAACTCAAAAAAAAAACCAAAAAAAAAACCACCATAGATAGCTGGGTGTGGTGGCTCATGCCTGTAATCTCAGCACTCTGGGAGGTGGAGGTGAGAGGATTGCCTGAGGCTGGGGAGTCGAGATCAGCCTGGGCAACTTGGCAAGACCTCATTACTACAATAAATCAAAAAATTAGTCAGACGTGGTGGCACACACCTGTGGCGTACATCTGTGGTTCCAGCTACTTGGAAGACTGAGGTAGAAGGATCACCTGAGCTCAGCAGGTCGACACTGGGATGGCTGTGAGTGTGCCACGGCACTCCAGCCTGGGAGACAGAGATTCCTACTCAAAAACAACAACAAAAACACCACAAATAACACTTCAAAGTTGTCCAAAATGTCTACCTTGCAATTTCTTTGTTGACTCTGGTCCTCATTTCATCCTCTTCCACAGCACTTGCCCAGTCTGAACATCTAGACCTGGGTTTAGGGCCTTCGGGAGTGGTAAAACTGCAACAAAATGAAAATGCACATTGAACCCTGACACACACTTTCAGTTTCCTTTCTAATTCGAAGTCAGGAAATATTCAGAGGCTGTGTGGCAGAGTGCCAAGGGAACCTGCTTTGGAGTTCAGATTTGAAAGAGAATCTGCTCTGTAACTCAGTAATTCACTGAGTCTGGTAATTCATTAAAGCCTTTCTGAGCTTCACTCATTAAAACAACTTCCACCCACCACCATATGCCAGCCCTGGCTAAAACACGAGGACACAATCCACTAAGGGAAAAGGCAACGTCACCAAGGAACTGTCAGCACGGTAAAGTGCATCTGACACAACTTGTTTTATTCGCAAAATGAGGAGATTTTTTTTTAGGATTTAAAGAAGACTTCAGATAATACGTGCTTAGTGCTAAGCACAGCAACCAGGATACAGTACGAACCTAATACATATATATTATAGGACATCTAATACATCTTTACTTTTTGGATGCATTCTAAATCACAATTAATGATTTAGAATGTTACACTTCAATTAAACTATGTACAGAGGAACAATAAATACATAAGTCACAGTCCCTGCTGCATTAGGACTGAGTCTATTGGCAAAGGTACCCCTACAGTTGGGTTACACCTAATCCAGGAGCTTAGTTCCAGCTCAGGCAAGCTCAAGGAAATCTTTAGTCAAGATCAGAAAACTTGAAAGCTTAAGGCTTAATGCCAAAAACTGCAGAAGTTGGAATTGCTGGTGTCTGCTATCAATATATTAAGTATAAACTTACATTTGTATTCTTCTGCTGCTTTTCTTTTAGCTACCACTGACGCATCAAAACTAGATACTAACTCCAACTACAACAAATAAGCAACCTCATGTATTTTAGCTGCAAATCAAATGACATTGAAATTCAACTGCAACAGCAGATGAATAATCTTCATGTAATTATCATTCTCCTTATATGTACCACTCAGAGAAACTGAAACTGGATTTTTAAGAGTAAATTCCACATTCTAAAAACAGTGGCCCATCAACAGGGTGCCTGAATGAAATGCAATTGTATACCTAACCCTTAACTGTACCCCACAACTTCACAATAAAAAAAATAATAAAAAAATAAAAAGTGGCCCTGGCACCGTAGCTCATGCCTTTAATCCCAGCATTTGGGGAGGTGGAGGTGAGAGGACTGCCTGAGTCCAGGGGTTCAAGACCAGACTGAGCAACTTGGCAAGACCTCATCTCTACAATAAATAAATTAGCTGGGCATGGTGAAACCTGCCTGTGGTTCTAGCTACTCGGAAGGCTGAGGCAGAAGAATCACCTGAGCCCAGCAGGTTGAGGCTGTGGTGCTGTAAGTGTGCCACTGCACTCCAGCCTGGGCTACAACGTGAGAAACCTACTAAAAAAAAAAAAAAAAAAGATGGAAGATTTGACATCAAATTAGGTAACTAACTAAAGTTAAACTGAATCAATCATGTCACAGATATTGAAAAGAACCAAATGGAGGCTTGTCCAGGTTGGACACAAACATCCTCACTAGTCTATCAAGAGGCTCTAGTCTGGTTCTCTGAAGTTATCCTACATCTCATATTTTGTAACTTTCGTGGAACTGAAGTTCATTTCTTAGATGAGAAGGTTATAATCACAATCTATCCTAACTTAGGACAACAAAGTCTTTTTACACACTTGGCTAACCTCCTAAAGGGACCACTACTTGCCCCCCATCACCGACCAGCAGCCCACCCCCATGCAGATGCAACTGGCTCTTTTGTCAGGGACCTCCTGGCATTCTCCACAGCAAGTGCAAAGGCCCCAGAACACAAGCATTCCTGCTTATTGGAGGAAGGAGGCCATGTGGCTGACCACCACTGGTCGAGATACCAAAGCCTTCTGGAGCAGCTGAATGAGACCACTCGAGAGTTCCAAGCTTGATCTCATTAAAGTCTGATGACTTTACCTTCCTATCTAGCCCTAGGGCTGTCCTTTTGTCCTAGGACTCCTACACTAGCCTCATTCCTAATCTTTAAGCACCATCTGTATGTGCTGATAACTCATTGGGCCTGACATGGCCTTCCCACACAGACTCACAGACCCAATTACCTTCTTGGTATCTCCCCTTGCTTCTCTAAGAAGCTTCTCAAGTCCAACCACTGATCCCTCCCCATACTAGGTCTGCTCCACCTTGGCAAATGACCCATGAGCAACACACGTGTTCCAGCCGAAAGGCTTGAGCCATTCGTGACTCCTCTTTCTTCCTGCCCCCAAACCCTCAGCGAGCCAACCATTTCCCGCTCCCTTCACTGTTCCATCCAAGTTATCATGACCTTTCACTTGAACTTAGTAGCAGCACGCAGACCTTCACCAGGATCACTTCCCATTTCATCCCAGGCACCACACAAAGGTCCTCCAAAAGAGGCTTCCCCAATCATGGCCCTGTGCAGAGGACCTATCACCACTGGCACTCCTGCTTACTTTCTTCAGACGCTCTTCCTCCCTCCGAGTTATCTCAGGGACTTGCTGTACCACTCCCATCAAGCTGTAAGCACAAGAAGCTCACATCCTGACCTCCCCCAACGCTGCCTAACACAGAAAACACTCAGGCAAGTAAACACCGGGGTAACAGCTATCCAGATGGGAAGAGCCTTAACAGCCTCCAGAGAGAAAGGGACCAGAGCTGAGATCTCGACTTACACTCCGGCTTTCACTCAACCTCTTTCCAACCTGGGGTAACACCTCAGTTACCCGAATTAACTCTTGGGAATAAAGAAAAAATGACTAGCTAACAACGTTTTCTAGTGTTCGTTTTCCTGACCCTTAAAACACATGACACGCCTCTAATTTCAGCATGTGGGGAGGCAGAGGTGAGAGGACTGCCTGAGCCCATAGATTCAAGGCCAGCCTGGGCAACATGGTGAGACCTCGCCTCTACAATAAATCAACAAGTTAGTTAGGCGTGGTGGCGCACGTCTGTATTTCCCGCTGCTTGGAAGACTGAAACGGCTGTGTGCATGCCACTGCACTCCAGCCGGGCCGACGGAGACTCCACCGCGAAAAAAAGAACCCGTGAAGCCTTCTGACACCAACGAGAAGCTGCTAGCAGACCCTGATGCCAACGAGACGGGCTCAAACTAGCTGACTCTGGCTGCAGTCAGTCATACCGACACCTATCACGGGCCTTCCCGTGCCTCAAGTCCACCGGTGGTGTCCCCGACCAGGCAGGCACCCCATGGCCGCCGCTGCCTCCTAAAGGGCCACTCCACCCAGAGGCACAAGCACAGGTCGCGGGCAGACGAACGGGGCCCAAAGAGGCACCTGTCTGACTCAACCTGGCACCCTGCGAAGACGAGAGCAGAGCGGCGGGGTCCCCAAAGCCGAGCCCCTGCCACGGCGCCACCGCCCC